CCCCCCACCATAGTTTCCCAGAACGGTCAGTCATTTTCGTATAGTATTGCATTGGATGTTTAAGGTCCGTTATATGAGTGAGAACATGTGATATTCGGATCTTTGTTTCTGTGAGAGGTCACTCAGTATTATAGACTCTAGTTCCATCCAGGTTGCTGCGAAATTCATGATTTTGTTCTTTTTTATGGCTGCGTAGTATTCCATCATGTATATGTACCACATTTTTTTAATCCAGTCCTCTTTTGATGGGCAGCATGGCTGTTTCCAGGTTCTTGCTATTGTGAACAACGCTGCAATAAACATGCGTGTGCAGGTATCTTTTTTATAGAGTGATTTGTGTTCTTCAGGATATATTCCCAGTAGGGGGATTGCAGGGTCATATGGGAGGTTGGTATTTAGAGCTTTTAGGAATCGCCACACTGCTTTCCACAGAGGTTGCACTAGTTTACACTCCCACCAACAGTGTAGAAGGGTTCCCTTTTCACCACACCCTCTCCAGCACCTGCTATTTTTTGACTTGTTGATAACTGCCATTCTGACTGGGGTTAGGTGGTATCTCAGTGTGGTTTTGATTTGCATCTCCCTGATGATTAGTGAGGTTGAGCATTTCTTCATGTGTTTGTTGGCTGCTCGAATGTCTTCCTTTGTGAAGTGTCTGTTCATATCTTTTGCCCATTTTATAATGGGGTTGTTTGTTTTTTTCTTTTCAGCATATTTGAGTTCCTTGTAGATCCAGGATGTTAAGCCTTTGTCGGACCTGGAGTTGGCAAATACTTTTTCCCAGTCTGTAGGCTGTCTCCCTGCCCAGCCCTGCTTCTTAACAGATACATGAATGGCCATGAAACTAACCCTATCTGAACCTGTTTTCTCTGTAAATGGTGAAAAGTGTGCCTTAACAAAGGAATAGTGGAAAGAATGATACCTGATACTAGAGCTTAGTTCAGCCTCGCGTAGTTAAGTGATCAATAAATGGTAATGAAAATAATAGATAACTTGTTGTTTTAGTACTTCCGTATGCTCCAGTATCTAACACAAAATTGGGTGAGAATGAGAAATTTACCTCTGTCACAGAAGCAGAAGTGAATCAAATACTTCAGGCATGCTTCACTTTACTCAGCCCCTGCAGAGAAATTTGCCATCAGAGGGCAACCCAAGTCCAGGGCTGCTGGATCTGGAACTGAAGACCCCTCTTTCAGAGGTGTTATTCATATTTCTCTCAAGTTTGCCACATGTCTCTCCTCTAAAGTCCTGAGAACATTCTAACCTATTGGGGTTTTGAATTTGTACAATTCCCCGTTGTGCTTAATTCTGAATAGAAAATGGCACACACACACACACACACACACACGCACACACACACACACACACACACCAGAAAAACTAAAAGAAAAATAAGAGAAAACCTGAAGACCAAAAATCTCAAATGCAGGAGAATGCACATGCATATAGAATACAACTTTCTTTTTCTAATAAAATTAGAATCGAACCACACATTTTTGTGTCCAGCAAAGATAATTAAGCACACAACCACTGTTCTCCTTCTTTCACTCCAGGCTAACAAATTCGTTCAACAAACATATCAATTGTCTTTACATGTCAAACACTATGCCATTTGTTCGAATAAGTGAAACCCAGTCCTTTCTCTAAAGGTGAACTGATGTAAAATGTAAAGAATCCCAATATATCGTGTTATATGCCATGACAAAGTAGGTATGAGACAGTGTGACTATTGTTACTACCAGAAGTGAGGGAAGACTGACCCGAGGAGATAACATTTAAGATGAGTTGTTAAGTTCTAGAAACAAATTCAATAGGCCGAGAAGAGGAAATCTCCTTTTAGATTTTTTCAAAAGTAGATATGCCAAGGTTTGAAAAGGCGTGATATGTTCAGAGATCAATAGGAAATGTTGATGATGAGAGAATGGAATGGACAGTAGGAAATGAGATAAACAAGGGAAAGGGGGTAAACAAGTAGCTGTTTCTTAAATAGAAGATCTGCATGATGGATTCTTATCCCCATAAAAAATACCTCCTTATTCTGTGGAAGAGATGGTTTAGGAGGGCATGGCAGACTGTAGAGTCCAATATGTCCATACAATGAATACACACGTGTTCCACTTGAATCTAAAATTTAAAAAAAGAAAAGAAAGTGGAGGGCGTGACAAGTGTTTTGTCTTTACCTCCTTCAGGTCTCTGCTCAAATACCGCCACTTTACACAGGTTGATTCTGTGCACCTTATTCCTATAGTAGCCTCTACTACTGTTTAGCCTCCTATTTTTAAATAGTTTCCTATTTTTCAAAAATTTTCTTTATTTTAAAGATGTGGGGTACGAGTCCGGTTTAGGTACACAGGTGGACTTGCAGGTAAAGTCTGGGCCTCCCACTGGTCCTCACTTCCCCCTGGTTTAGGATCAGGTACCTTGAGTGATGTTATTGTCCCCTCCCCACCTCCCCTGGCAGTGTCCTGCCACCTCCGATCCCTCTCTTTTAGTATTATGACAAATGTTCAGGATCAACTTGTGAGTGAGAACATGTGGTATTCAGGTCTTTGTTTCTGTGCTAGATCACTGAGTATGATGGACTCTCACGCCACCCAAGTTAGTGCAAAGTCTGTAATTGTGTCCTTCTATGACTGTGTAATATTCCATTGTGTATATGTACCACTTTTATTTAATCCAATCCACTTTTGATGAATAGCATGGTTGGTTCCATGTTTTTGCTATGGAGAATAGTGCAGCAATAAGCATGCATGTACAGGTAGCTTTTTCTTAGTTCTTAAAGGTATATTCCCCGAAGGGGGATTGCTAGATCATGTGGAAGGTTGATTTTTAGATTTTTTTTTGGATTGGAATCTCACCCCATCACCCAGGCTGGAGTGCAGTGGCACACTCATGGTCACCCCAATGTCTACCTGCTGAGCTCCGGTGGTCCTTCCACCTCAACCTGCCAAGTAGCTGGAACTACAGGTGTGCACTACCACCCCCGGCTAATTTTTAATTTATTTATTGTAGGGACAAGGTCTCGCCAGTTTGCCTGGGCTGGTCTCAAACCTGCAGGCTCCGGCAATCTACTCGCTTCAGCCTCCCAAAGTGCTGCGATTACAGTCTGAGCCACCAAGTCCAACCCTGTCTTAATTTTCTATTCTGATTTAAATTTTTCATAAGTCCTGGTTTGTCATTTGTATTTTTCTATTTTGTTGTATGTATCATGTAGATCAGCAGTTAGGAATTTTAGGAATCACCACACTGTTTGAGGATGAACTAGTTTAAGCTCCCCAAACAGTGCAGAAGCATTCTTCTTTCTCCGCATCTTCGCCAGCATCTGTTTTTTGATTTTTTAATGATGGCCATTCTTACTGGTGTTAGGTTGCATCTCAATGTGGTTTTGATTTGCATTTCTCAGATGATTAGTGAGGCTGAGTATCTTTTCCTGTTATCTATTGGCTGTTCGTATATCTTCTTTTGAGAAGTGTCTATTCATGTCCTTTGTCCACATTTTAACTGGGCTGGTTGTTTGTTTTTTTCCTTTCAGCATGTTTGAGTTTCCTATAGATCCTGGATGTTAGGCCGTTGTCAGATTAGTAAATATTTTATTTCTTAGTAAACGAATTATTACATGAACAGTTGAGTTATAATATCCCTACTATTATGTAGTTTTTATATCTTTTGAGATTATCACCATGGTTTCAGTGACTAGAATATTGCCTGGAACATAGCAGCTACTCAGAAAGTACTTTTGTGAATAAATTAATTGCCTTCATTCAGGACCTGCATCCACGAGGGTCTGAATGAAGGCAATTGCCATGGACAGAGTGACAATAGATAAGAGACTTTTGAGAACTAGAATCTAGAAAATGAGCATTGTGACAGTAAATGTGATGTGGGAAGAAAGAGTGGCGGAGGGCCTTCTTCACTCCAGGCGCAGGAGGCAGGATGACTTATGATGACGTTTGTAGAGATGGATGCGATTAGTGTAATACGCACAGATGCGGGTGAAGATGATGAATTCCATATTGAACTGTTGAACATCATTGCCTAAGCCAATAGGGAAAGGAATTATGGGCCTGAGATTGTAGAGAAAGATCTGAGATTAGGGTAGAGATTTACAAACCATTAAAAATTGATAGCAGTGGAAGACGCAGAAAAAAAAAAGTCATAGAGGGCATAGGAAGATAATAGAAATACTGCAAAGTTTAGAGCTTTCAAGATGATATTAAGATCCGGAAATAAACTGATACCAATTTTAAAATGGATATGAAGGATGACAAACATCTACAATTACAAGCCAAGGTTTTTATAGATTTGAAGAAAGCATTGGGAAGGAATCGAAGGAAGCATTTTTGAGGCTGCCACTGTTCATTATGAGGACTTGACACTTTTTTAAAGCAACAACATGGAAAGGAAAAAAATAACACTTTTTGGTCAGAATGTTTTGTGCTTTTTGCATTTCAAATTTAAGTAGATAAAATGATTAAGCTTTGAGAGCTCAGAAATATGTAAATCTGAGTTCAGAGTCAGATGATCATGAGGCATAGTGATCCCTACATCTTTTTGTCTTTTGCTTCTTGATAGGGCCAGCACTGGAAGGGGTCGCGCCCCGTCCCCAAAGTCTACACTTCCCATGTCTTATTCTCAATGTACTGATTTATTGTCTAGATCTCCTGTCTTTGGTTCTATGCTACAAAGCTGAAGTAATTAAACCTCTAATATCTCTTTAACCCACATTAGCATGTAGACAGGCTTCTCAGGTATACATCCTTTCTCAGGTATACTCCTCTCAACTGGTCACCAGAATTCTATTACAGCAATCTCAAAAGTGGTAGCAACGCGATGGATCCTCTGACAGAGCTTTTTAAGACAGCATTTGGGAGCCACCTGTCCATTGGTAAGCTTCCTCCAACTTACAGTTGGGAACTGTCACTCATCCACTCCCAGTCTGTTGTTTTTATTGGAACTGAGAGTGCTGGATATTGCGACAGGGAAAAAAAAGAGCAGAACCAATGATACGTAAGACTCCTGGGATTCCCAAGGAAAAAGCAGGTGCTTTGTACTCTTTCTTGCGAGAAGGCAAGAAGCTGCTGCTGCCGTCTTATAATCGTAAAGGTAAGTGCCGAGTATGATGCCAGATATGTGGAAGGATGTGAGTATGAGACACACAAAAGAGAAAATGGTTGCTTAAGTCCTTCGTAAAGCACTTGTCACGTGTTGTAATCGTGCTACACATTTCATAAACATTGCACCATTTAATTTTCAGCACAACTATGAGGTGGTTATCACTATTTTACAGATGAGGAAGCTGAAATACAGAAAGGTAAAGAAATTTACTCAAAATCGTATAGGGAATTGAGGAGGAGATACAAAAATTAAACCCCAACTCTATTCCAAATCCCACTTTTAATTACATAATACTGTCCTCTCTGTCTTGGACAGACTTGGGCTACACATTGTGACTTTTATTATGATATCTGGCATGACTTTTCCTCCAAGTTCTGTTTCATACCAGTGCCCTATCTACATCTCCTTCTTATGTCCGTAAACTGATTCAAAATTGCACAGTTTGTATCTTTATCTGCATATACTGACAGAAGAACTTCCACCTTACAGAAAGGAATCACATTAGTAACAGCCTTTGCTGCTCAAGAAGCAATTAGGGTATTCTCTGCAGACTCATTCAATCCCCAGTCGACATCTTAGTCTGTGAAACATAGAGAAACCTAGTTTAATTAAATTAACACAATGAAATGAGTTACTTAAGGATTCAGGATGTGTCTGAGTAAGTACCAGCTACATTAGTTAGGTGAACTTTAGGTATTTTTTCTGTTTATGAAACCTCATGTAGCACCTGTGTGTCTGGAAATGCTGAGTGTTCCTGTGCTTAAACCTTATTCATAATTTACTTCAATGTCTGTGTAACACAAAGCCCCTCGTTGTGCGATACACACACACACAAACGTATATGTGAAAATTGCATATGTGCATATAGGAATGTATGTAAAGTGTCTTTCTAAAACTCTGAAGGAACAATGACCAAACCAATTCACCTTCAAAGATACCCTGTGTAATGGTTTCACTGTTGTGCTACTTCAGTTAAGTATCATGAAATTCTATCAACTTTGCGTTTTCCTTACTCTGATTTACAAAAAGGTAATTTTCAGACATCAATAAATACTATTTTTGTTTCCACATTTTAAAAAGATGAATAAAAATATCACAAACATTGCATTTAAAAAAAATAAAAATATACTCTAGACTTGCATTTTTTGCTCCAGCACGTAAGAAGTGTAGAAGTGCCACTTTGTTCTAACAAGTTATAATCTCAACAAAATGAAAAGTGGATAACTCTTCTTAGATCCAGCTCTAAGTCAGATCACAGGGAAAACTAGGGCCCCTGAAATTAGACACACATACAGATGGAGAGATTTAACACGTCTGAGCAGAAACCCCCTGGCAGTGACCTCTTTGGGAGCCAGTGCCTGGACGGCCAGGGTAGGGAAACCTGAATTTATTGCTGGAACCTCCCTGTGGGCAACTCTGAGTCTTTAAACACTTCCAGGGAACCAGCCATAGGGGCCTCTCACACTTTTGCCCGTTTGAGCTCTGGGAACTCTTCCAGGTCTTCACAGTGAATATTGGAGAAAATCCCAGCCTCTGCGGGGGGGGGGGGGGGGTTAAAGTTCACCAGGGGATCTTGTTCTTAACAAGACCTGTGCTGACAGGAAACAATTTTTTTTTTTTTTTTG